AGAGAGAGAGAGAGAGAGAGAGAGAGAGAGAGAGAGAGAGAGAGAGAGAGAGAGAGAGAGAGATCTTCTTCTTCCTCTTGTAAGTCCACCACCTCTCCCTCACCCTCTTGCTACCCGACTTCTCAGTATCGACAGACTATGAGAGAGAGACAGAGAGCGATTTGTGACTTTGGGATGTTGACGACATTTTGGATACGGACTTGACTTTGGGATTGAGACAGTGACAAGGGACTATTTGGGATCGATACCAGCGACAATTGTGTGGCGACATTCCCATCTTCTCCCTTTTCTTTGCCTAATTCCCCCTCCTCTTCGTCTGTGTATGGTTCGGGACTGGCGCATTCTTCCTGTGTGAGCGCCAGACCCCTTCACACCATGCGATGATGATGATGCATGTTTGGTCTGCATTGCGACATTGATTGGTCTGATCATTGGTATTTTAGCTGTCCGCTGCGCTATCTTGTACTATGTGAGAGAGGTCGGTTCTTGTTCTGGTCTGTACCATTACGGTATGAGACAGTTTGGTATCGGAGCAAACCTCTCAATCAGAGGATCTGCCCAATCAAAGAGCCTGCTTGAGTTGGTTGATTGATAGTTGGTTGATTGATGGATAGTTTGCAGATTGATCGATTGAATCAAGTAGGACCCCATTAAAATCCTTGCAATTTGTTTTTCTCTCGACAAATACCTGATATTTCTGATTTTAGCATTTCGTTTTCTGGGCATATTAGGTTGACGGTGGAGGTTGTCATAGTCTCGGAAATTGGACTTATTCTTTTCTGAAAATCGAAACATCATTCTATTGCGCAATTTTTTTTTCAAAAACGCAATTTTTTTTGAAAGCCGAAATTTTGCGAAAGCCTTGTTGCCTAGATCATAGCATGTCGTTTTCTGGGCATACTAGGTTAACGAGGGAGGTAGTCATATTCTCGGAAACTGGATTTACTCTTTTCTGAAAATCGAATCTCCATTCTATTTCGCACAATTTTTTTTTTTTTCAAAATCGCAAATTTTGGCAAAGCCTTGCCTAGATCTTACTCGTAGCACTCCTTCGTAAATGCCTCGCTGATCAAATCGACAGATTTTCAAAAAAAAAGAAAAAAGAACAAAAAGGGGAGGGGATCCTCTTTTTTTTTTTTTTTTTTTTTTTAGTCTGTTGATTAGGACCGGGACTGGAAAGTGCAGTTCGGTCACCTTCCTGCGTTTCCCTCCCACCCAGCCCTTTGCCTGCATTCCCGGTTTGGTAAGTGCCACGTCAGCAGTGCCACGTCAAGCAGTGCCACGTCAGCAACAGTGCCACGTCAGCAACAGTGCCACATCAACAGTGCCACATCAACAGTGCCACGTCAGCAGTGCCACGACAACAGCAGTGCCACGTCAACAGTGCCATGTCAGCAGTGCTCTGCCACCATGACGGTTTCAGCTTTGGGCATGCCAGGCCAACTGGCCAACAAGTCTACTGCCGAGTACCGACAGCGGTTCCAAGCTCAGCTCGCACCGATCAAGGCTGAGGAACAGCGCCAGGCTGTACACTAGGCTACGCGCCTACAGGCTGAAGCGGACGCAGCAGCTGAGAAGCAGTGGCTTCAGGCCGCAGCTGACGCAGATACCCAGGCCCGCCGCACGAAAGCCCAGGATCTGCTGCAGCGGCACGAAGCCACCAGCGCCGACAAGCTCAAGTTCTGGCATTTCGAACCATCTGAGGGCCATGACGACGCAACACCCCATGGAGTTCCTCTCCAAACTCGTCACCCGGTTGGTTTACACTTGTAACTACCTGCAGTCCGAGTTAGAGAAACAGCACCAGGAACTGGCGAATGTCCGACAGGCAGTGCGGAACCACAAGGATCTACACGAGGATGCTACATGGGCACTCCATTCCCGTGTACAGGACTTGGAGCACGCAGCACCAGGACCAGATGCTGGCGAACCCAGCAATGCAGCCTCAACCCGCCGGTTGGAGCAACGAGTTGACCATGTAGTCGTCGTGCTCGGCGACATCAGCGCCTTCGCTGCACCCGCCATCATCAGCAAGCAGCTCGACGCCTTGAAGAAGAAGGTTCGGCAATTGCACCAACCGCTCGACGACGATGGCAGCACCAGTGCATCGCAGAAGTACAAGATGCCGACATTCCGGATCGAAAAGTTTGACGACTATACGCATCAAGACCCGGTCCCCAGGTGGCAGGGCTTTACAAAGGAACTTCGAATTCATCACGTCCCCGAGCACTCGTAGATCGCAGCGTTGTTCCTCAGCTCAAAAGGCGGATGCCAGATCTGGCTCACCCACTTGGCAACCATCCATGGCGTCCAGGTCGCAGATCTGCACAAGAAGATCTCTTGGGAAGAGCTGACGAGGCTATGGAAGAAACGCTTCATCGTTGACGACGCCCTGACGCTTGACATCAGCCGCCTCTTCGCCATGACTCAAGGAAACACACCGACACGCGATTGGCTCACATAATGACAAAAGATCGTGGCAACGCCCAATCTCGAGTTCCCATTTTCGCATCTGCACCGGGAGTTATACAACCGGTCATGTGACGCCTTGAGCCAGGCACTCGGTGATCGAGAACAGTACACGACCTTTGCCAACATCATCGACGAGGCACGTGAGATCATCAAGACCAAGCGGGCTGCTGCACACGGGAAGTCAGCGTGGCAGCCAGCCCATGTGGAGAAAGGAAAATTTGGTCCGCGTCCACAGCCCGTCGCTGCAGTCCAACCGGACAACATTGTGGAAGACCCGGCAGCCACCCCAGCATCACGTGAGGGAGATCAGGTGGCCGCTGTCCAGCCGTGTAGCAACAACCTCGCGTGGAAAAGGGAGGGCGAAAACCGCATCACCGGCTGGAAACTGACAGCCAGTACCATGGGTCAAGTTTAACTTGACCAAGTCCGACTTCAAGTACCGCAGCCGAAACGGCTGCTGCTATTGGTGCAACGACACTAAGCACAAGACCTCCAAGCGCCAAGATCAAGGCAAGGAGGATGTTCGACCTCGAATCGGCTCGGGAAACTGAGCCGCGCGGGAGGTGAGGCGACTCCACCTCTCACTCCGCCAGATTCGGCCGCCTTGCTAGCGGCTCCTACACATCTGGGGAGAATGCGGATGTCGCAAGTCCTCTGTGCACTTACGAGGATTACGCTGTCCACTTGGTCCCAATGTTGGACCAACCACTCCACATGCAACAATCCACCGCATGCACGGTTTCATCACCATCGGCAACCGATTCGACAGCTTCGCTGCCAACTTCAGTCAGGGATTTGACGTCATGGTCAAGACTTGAAGAACTCGACCCGTTGACGTTTGCAGACTTCCAATGGATGCCCCTTACCCCGTCTGGTCGATTGTCGAAACCGCATTGCAACATGCTCATGGCACAATTGCGGGATTACTTGCACACTGCAATACCAGCTCCGTTGATGGACGCCGGAGTAGGGGTTGTTGACCTTCGCGACTACCTTGTGAAGATCGACCACGAGTTCAAGACACAACAGTACGACGACAACGACGCGCCATTGCTGTACGTACGCATTCAGATCGGAGAAGCGACCTGTAGTGCTTTGATCGATTGCGGAGCCACTCGCAACTATATGAGCCAAGACTTTATGGTACGCGCTGGCCTTGGGCTACACGTTCGGAGGAAGTCGTAGCCCACCCAAGTCACGTTGGCCGACGGTCACACACACAAGTCAATAGACCGGTGCATTGATTCCGTCCCCGTGTGCTTCGCCCCACAGGGAGCGAGGCCGTGTCCTTCGACATTCTGGACACCCAATTCGACATGATTTTGCGCATGTCATGGCTGCGAAGCGAGGATCACCCGGTGAATTTCTACCGCCTGTCAGTTTGTGATCAGAACGGAGTACTAGTCCCGTGCACGGTGCCTCTACCTCACCCTTTGATCAACTGTCACGTGGTGTTCGCCGCGAGCATTCGAGCTTCCATCACCCGAGACGACGTCAAGGAGATGGGTGTGTGTTTTCTCCCCGCCCTCCCTCCCCATGACATCTCATCGACGGACGTATCGACGGATCCACACATCACCGAGCTTCTCAACGCCTACGACGATGTGTTCGAAGCCCCTCACGAAGTAGTACCGGATCGACCCATCCGCCACGAGATCATCCTCGAGGGCGGGGCCGTACCTCCGTGTGGTTGCATCTACCACATGAGCGAGGAAGAGTTAAGTGTGCTACGGGCACAACTCGATGACCTTCTTGAGAAAGGCTGGATTCAGCCTAGCTCTTCGCCACACGGAGCTCCCATTCTCTTCGTCCGGAAGAAGAACAAGGACTTGCGGTTGTGCATCGATTATTGCAAGCTTAACGCGCAAACCGTCAAGAACGCCAACCCTCTTCCGCTCATCGACGACCTTCTCGAACAGCTGGGTGGCACAAAGTTCTTCTTCAAGCTCGACCTCAAATCGGGATATCACCAACTCGAGATCCTACAGGAGGACCGCTACAAGACCGCGTTTAAGAGGTGATATGGGCATTACGAATGGATGGTTATGCCTTTTGGCCTTACGAATGCTCTGGCCACGTTCCAAGCAGCTATGACAATGGAGTTCCGACACATGCTGGATAGATTCGTACTCATCTACCTCGACGATATCTTGGTGTACAGCCGGAGTTTGGACGAGCATGTGGAGCACTTGCGCACCGTTTTGGAACGGCTACGACAAGCTAAGTACAGAACCAAACGCGACAAATGCGGATTGACGTGGCAAGAGCTTGAGTATTTGGGACATTATGTGACGCCGCAAGGCATCCGTCCGCTCACGGACAAGATTGAGGTCATCCGCGTATGGCCCGAGCCCACTAACACCACGAACGTTCGCTCATTCATGGGTTTGGCAGGCTACTACCAACGCTTCATCACCGGATACTCAAGGATCGCCGCACCATTGACGAGACTACAATCAACTCAAAGGTGTCAGTCGTATTCGACAACGACACACGCCGGTCATTCCAAGCACTTAAGAGGGTCATGCTCATGGCACCCATCCTTAGCATCTACGACCCCACCTTGCCAACGAGAGTGACGACTGACGCTTCCGGCTATGGCATTGGGGCAGTCTTGGAACAACACGACGGCGACGACTGGCATCCTATGGAGTATTTCAGCCACAAGGTGCCTCCCATCAACTCACTTAATGATGCAAGGAAGAAGGAGCTTCTCGTGTTCGTGATGGCTCTCAAGCGATGGCGACACTTCCTCCTTGGGCGTCGAAGGTTCATATGGGTCACGGACAACAACCCGTTGACCTACTACAAGACGCAAGATACGGTGAGCAGCACGATCGGACAATGGATGTACTTCATCGACCAATTTGACTTCACACCGAAACATCTCGCCGACCTCTCCAATCACGCAGCTGATGCACTCTCGCGAAGACCCGATCTTTGCGCTATGACACATCATGCCTTCGCGTTCGACGAGGAACTCCAGTGGCACTTCATCCGGGGTTATGAGTCTGATCCGGATTACACCACACTCTACGCGCAATTATCTTCGGATCACCCGCCGGCCAGCCACTATCACATCGCCGATGGGTACTTGCTTCTCCATTCGCGAGGCAATGACTTATTGTGTGTCCCACGAGATCGTCGTCTTCGAACTTGCCTTTTCGGCGAGTACCACAACTCTCGACTCGCCGACAATTTCGGAGTTAATCAGACTATCGCACGACTTCCGCAACGATTCCGGTGGTCCGACCTCATTACTGATGTCACTCAGTATTGCGACTCTTGCAAAGTTTGTCGACGAAGCAAGCTTCGCAACCGCAATCCCTACGGTGAGTTGCGCCCGTTGCCTATTCCACGGGAACCCGACCTCTCCATTGCCATGGATGTCACCGACCCGTTTCCACACGACCGCTTCGGGCACGATGACATCCTCACGGTCGTTGACCGATTGAGTAAATACGAGCGATTTCTTCCTTGCAAGTACTACGCCACGACTCCCGAACTTGAGCACCTCTTGCACACTGGCTGGATATACAGCCACGACGTACCGGAAGACATCGTTAGCGACCGCAACACTCGTTTCATGTCGGCATTTTGGACTTCTCTCATGCAGGAATCCGACACCAAAATGAAACCAAGTTCGACTCGGCATCCACAAACGGACGGGCCAACGAAGCCGACACATCAAACCGCTCAAATGATGCTTCGTACGCTCATCCGTCCGGATCAAAAGGATTAGGTTGATCGCCTCCCCGACGTCGAGTTCGCCTACAACACTTCGTTGCATCTGGCGATCGGCGTGACTCCATTCGAGTTGCACCTCGGTGTCCGGAAAGGCCGTATCTTCGCTGATCTTCTCCTTCCACGGACAGCCGACATAGATGCCGCTTGCTCTCCCGCCTCCGTCCGGAAGTACAGGGAATTGATGACTCAAGCCCAGGCGAACATGCAAAAGGCTCAAGTCCGCATGCAGCAGCAAGCCAACAGGTGTTGCGTGCCATGTCCCATCCGCGTCGGTGATCTGTTTGTGCTCGAACAGGATATCTCGTGCAAACTACTCCCCAAATGGTTTGGACGATGGACCGTCCTTTCAGCCACAGGTGATGAGCCCGACGCCCCATCCTTTGTGATCGACATCCCTTCGAATTTGCCGGTGCATCCAGTCTTTCACGCCTCGAAGCTGGCAACATACACACCAGCTAAGAGTGACGACTTCTCGGGCCGATGATCGCAAGACCCTCTGTCTATGGATGGTCATCAGGAAGTCGACCGCATCATCATGGATCGCAAGTACGACAACAAGCCTCAACAGTACAAAGTTACCTTCAAAGCATGCGATCCTGACGACACTCGATGGATTTCACGATCAAATTTGCAAGCATCCGCACCGCTGATCTACGCTCATTACGAACGACAAAGACTAGCTAAGGAAGCTTCACGACCTGCCCCTCCCACCCAGACTCTGGTCCCTCCCCCGAAAGGCAGCTTCGCCCTCACAGGTAAGCTCTGTCTTTCAAGGAGGGGGGGGTGTGGCATACTGCGCATCCACACGGGCCGGCAGGGCCCGACCAAATGGAAAATAAGGGCCCTTCAGGCCCTGTGTCGTCTCAGCCTAAAAGCCTGAAAACGAGGTCCATTTTCAGGCCCTCATAAAGTCGACCTGCCCTGAAACTTAGGCGCCAGACCAGGGTTTAGCGCAGGCCATTTTTAGGCCCGTTTCAAGACAACCTTTGTTTGAACTTCAGTGCCAGGGTCTGGCACATTTCGGCATCGGCAAGAGCAGCCTCCCTGCCAGACCAGCACTATATAGTACTGGTCTGCCAGACACTTCACAAGTAGTTCACGGGCCCTTCACGTGCAGTTAAGGAGGCAGGAGGCAGTCTTCAGGATTCGGCAGCAACACTCTGCAGGAGCGCTGCAGTAGTAGTAGCTAGTAGTAGTCTTCAGCGCTGGGCACTGTTCGGAGCTTAGAGTAGCATTGGAGAGAGAGAGAGAGAGTTGGTGGAGGCCAGGGAGACTTACCTGTGGCACCATAGCTCCAGCTTCGTCTTCGATGTACCTGCAACAAGGCGCCACCTTCAAAGGTTCGTACCGGGCTGAGAGAGAGAGAGAGAGAGAGAGAGAGAGAGAGAGAGAGAGAGAGAGAGAGAGAGAGAGATTTGTGACTTTGGGATGTTGACGACATTTTGGATACAGACTCCACTTTGGGATTGAGACTGTGACAAGGGACTATTTGGGATTGATACCAGCGACACTTGTGTGACGACATTCCCATCTTCTCCCTTTTCTTCATCTAATCCCCCCTCCTCTTCGTCTGTTTATGGTTCGGGACTGGCTCATTCTTCCTGTGTGAGCGTCAGACCCCTTCACACCATGCCATGATGATGATGTATGTTTGGTCTGCATTGCGACATTGATTGGTCTGATCATTGGTATTTTAGCCTTCCACTGCACTATCCTGTACTATGTGAGAGAGGTCGGTTCTTGTTCTGGTCTGTACCATTACGGTATGCGACAGCGCACGTCGTGCGCTGTGCGCGGTGCAACACACGTCGATGCGCAGCATGTATGATATGAACCCATTAGGATTGACAAGAATAGAGGAGATTCTCTCCCAAGAAGCTGTCGCAAGGAAACCCTCCCAAAGACACAAGACAATAAGTTGACCCCTATATTGTCAGCAAGACTGCAATGGTCTCTCAGATCATGAAGAGGGAGTCCCTCCAACCCAATGGTTCCTCAAGAACTCTGACAACAGAGCCTCTTCATCATTGATCAGCTGCTGTAATTCCGAAAAAAGAGATTTGTAATGACCCGTCATAACACAGACTGAGAACACTGCTGATTTCTGAAGTTCTGCTGATGGAATGGATGCATTACTGAGATTCCCGCATTCGGCTGTGTTTTCTAAGTCTGCCTGTGTGTGCATGCTCGTGACCTGCGTGCCTGTCTGAGTGCTTGTCGGCACGAGTGTGTGTGTGACCCGCAAGGGCACTTGTTTGTTTGGCAGGCCCGTAGGGCCGGTACTTACCTGTGGCCGTGGCATTGAGGGTTGTAGCAGGGAAAAACACTCAAGTGGCGAAGCTAGCGGCCGTGAGGCCCTCGGGATAGCGGGAAAACACTCAAGTAGGCAGGTAGGCCGAAACTGCACCCCACTTGTTACATCTTCGACGCCACACGGGTCCTACCGGACCCGACCTAGGGCCAGAGGGACACAGTAGGGCCTAAAGGCCCGGACTTGGGGTACAGCAGGCCATAAAGGCCACAGTTTTGGACCAGACCCGACGGGCAGGCCCAAACGACATTACCGTTTGGGCCTGGCGGCGCTTTTGAGGCTGCCGCCCGCCGGTCTGATAGATCGACGGTTAAGGTCACGACCAGGCCTCGCAGCATTGAGGCCGGCCTCATTTCCACCGGTACTTATACCGGTCCAGCCTCATTCTGAGGCATCGAGCCACTGGCATGCTGCATCAGCGCCAGTGCGTATCGGTTGAGGCAGAGCGCTATTCTTAGCGCAGGAGCGGAGCAGCAGCAGCAGCGACGAGCAAGGAGCTAGGCAGCAGCCCTCAACAGTACGGCGACCATAGCCGCAACCTGCAGTCGGACTGCAGCACCCCCAGGTACCAGGAGGCGGGGGAGTCTTCTCCTCCCTCCACGGCCCCCGGCTCTCTCCTCGTCTGCCATCTCTTCTCCTTCTTCTTCAGACTTCTTCTTTTTCTTCAGACTTCTTCTTCTTCTTCTTCAGACTTCTTCTTCTTCTTCTTCAGACTTCTTCTTCTCCTTCTTCAGATTGGAGACTTGATACTAGTTGGACAGAGATCAGTGTTGGACTTYGGTGGTAAGAGGCTGTGGTACTTACCGGATTCGAGACTTGGAGATTGTGGGGGTTGATACTCGGCAGCATCACAGATTAGACACCGGTTACATTAGGACTCTGTACCTCCGACATTGGTGACTTATTGTCCACGACATTTTGATCTYCTTCGATGACATTTTGGACTACCATATCGGTGACCTACTGGATTCTATCTCAGTGACATCTGGCGCTACCTACAWCTCCCACCTCCTTCGTCTCTCCTCCCACCTTTCATCTGTGTATGTGTGTACGGGGCCTGAGCATCGTCCATGATTGGCTCAGACCCCACCATCTCACGATTGCTTGTGTGTGGAGTGATATCTGTGTGAGTCAGTCTATGTGAGTCAGTCCATTTATCAGACTTCCGCTGCATACATGCTCATCCTATATTGGTTGATCTCTTGGTTCTGCCCATACTTGTTAAAGTACTCACAAGTATGTAACAGTTTTGGTATCGGAGCAGACCAAATAACGGATCTGCTCACAAGGTAAGTCTGATTTAGGAATAGATTGCTTCTTCGATCTTCCAAATCAGCTCTGCATTGCTATCGAGATTCAAAGTTGCAAATTTTTTTTCTTTTCGGTATTCTGTTTAATTCGGCATTCCGTTTCAATTCGGTATTCGGACTTTCAATTTGGATTTCTGTTTTAATCCGGTATTCTGTTTAATTCGGGTTCCGATTAATTGGTATTCTGGTTAATCCGATACTCTGTTTTAATTCGGATTTCTGATTCTAATTCGTTATTAGGTTTAAATCAGTATTCTGTTTAATTCGGCATTCTGATTTCAATACGGTATTCCGTTTTTAATTCGGCATCCTGTTTTTAGATCCTGTATTTCGTTTTTCTAAATCGGAATTTCCGTTTTATTTCGGTATTGGAAATTAGGGTTACGATAAATTTCGGTTTTTGTTCAAATTGGGAAACTCGAAGGTTTTGGAACCGTAAAACCGGAAATTCCGCGGAATCGCGGAAAATTAGGGTTGGGATCCAAAATTTTTGCGAATTTTTTTTTCTTTCCCTAGTTGGAGAAATTTCGAATACGGACTCAGGCCGTTAAAAATCGGATTTGGTTGATTGAAATTCCCGAAATTTCACGTTTTTTGAAAATTCAAGTGTTTTTCTGCCTGATTTTCCGAAAAAAAAAATTTGGCAAACTGTTCGGAATCGTTCCCTCAGAATTGCAACTTCCGGGTAGTTCACTCATCAACGGTGAACTCCCGGACCATAGGAGATCTCAACGGACACCTAATCTTGTCACAATTTAAAATTCGGTAATTATCAGTATTGCATTTATTGTTTTATTGATTATTAAGAAATATTAATTCGTTATTAATCATTTAATCCAAAATTTATTGATTATTAATTCATTATTCTTTCTTATTACGAATTTTTAAGTTGTGTTGGGAAAGTTTATTTTTTTACTGTTTGATTAGGTGTCTAAGTCCATCATTGGGACAGGGACTGTATGCGAGTTGCCTGATCTGTTCTGCCCCTGTACCCACCCTCTCCCTCTCACTGTTCTGCGACCATTCGGACGAGCCAGCCTTCAGCAGCAGTTCTCTGATGCCAGCAGGGCAAGCCACCGAACAGCAGCCACGGCGCAGCAGGAGGATCGCAGATCGCCAACAGCAACAGCAACCTGCAGTTCGACAGCAGCCACAGACCAGCACTCAGATGGCGAACACGCCTAACAGCGGAACATCATCTGAGACTTCGACATCTAGCAATGCCGAACCATTGCCGATCTGTCCGGATCAAGGGCCGAATGAGCCCATTGCGGACTACATTCAGCGAGTGCAGACCTATACGGCCGCACTAACCCTTGCCAAGGAACGGCAAGATGCTGCCAAAGCAGACAAACAGCGGCTGGCAGCAGAAGCTGCAGCCCAAGCCCAGCAACAAGCTGAGGCGGAGCAGTTGGCGACCGACAAGCTCAACGCCGACAGTGCCGAGCTTCTGATCTCTCAACAAGATCAGTGGACAGCGGTACTCAATGGGATGCATTATGTTCCGTAGCCGGCGCCGAGCCGACGGCAGTACAACAGGAGAGACAAAACCTGGCAGACATTCTACTAAACACAATGCGAGCAGACATCTGGAACAGCACCATGGGGGAGCTTCATTCCAGTTCTACACGGCAGCTGCAGCACGATCTTAGCCATAACGTGAAGACGCTTGCAGCAGCCGTCAAGATCGCGGACTCCCAGCTGAAACTGATGGACACCCGCATTGCTGCTCTGGAGGCAAGGCCTTCCCAAGCAGCGCCAGGCTGCACGACAGACACGGCGAAGCAGCTCAACGAACGCATCGACCATGTCGTCAATCTCATCGGCGAACTAGGTGCTTTCACTGGTCCAGACACGATCAGCAGCACGGTGGCCGCCATCAAGACGGACATCACCAAGCTGCAGACAAGACCAGATGCCACTACAAAGAACTACAAGATGCCGCACTTCAACATCAGCAAGTTCGACGACTACAACAAGACGGACGCCTTGAGATGGTGGCAAGGCTTCCTTACGGAAGCATCCTGCCGCACTATCCCGGCTGAAGACATGATGAAGGCGCTCTACCTACAACTGATTGGAGGAGCACAGGCATGGATGAACCATCTTGCGGCCACCAAGCAATGCACCATCGCCGAACTCCACACGCACATTACGTGGAAGGAGTTCGAGCAACTATGGTTCACTCGATTTATGGTCCGCAACGTCGTGAAGGCGGCCATGAACGAGGTGTTCACCAGCTCACAAGGAAGCATGCCAACTCGAGACTGGACGATCAAGTGGCAGAAGATAGTGACCACGCCAGGTTTTGATTTGAGTTTTCCAAACCAACGATCCGAGTTCTTCTCTCGATCGTGCGCAGGACTGCCAACCGCACTCGGCAACGAGTACGATTATGCCTCATTCCAGGCTATTCTGGATCGTGCGAACCTAGTCATCCAAACGGATGACAAGGCCGCTAACGAACGACAGTCCCAGCCGCACTATGTGGCTAAGCAGGGCTATCAACGACCGACACATAACAATGTCGTGATTTCTGAAGAAACTATTGATCTCCACGCTGCAGCAGCACCCTCGAGTGATGGAGGGACTGTCGCAGCGCTCCCGCAGGAGCGTCCCAAGAGAGTTCGGAAGAACAAGGCGACACAAGCGACGACATCGACGGGAACTGGGCAGCAACCATGGATGACGTTCAACATAACCAAGGAAGTATTTGATCTTCGTCAACGGTACGGATATTGCCTTTGGTGCAATGGTGTCACTCACTTGACCGCACAATGCCCCGAAAAAAGCAAGGCACGTGTACCCCGTCCAGCGAACTCGGGAAACTGAGTTGCGCAAGGAGAGAGGCGACATCTCTCCTCACTCCGCCGGAACCGGTTGCCTTGCTAGCAACCGATATCACTATCGGGGAGCATGCGTTAGTCGCTGATTCCCGTGCTACGTACGAGGATTATACCGCCCAGCTGGTACCACCATTAGACCAGCCGAGCCACGTCAACTTAGATTGCGTATGCGCAGCCTGTACACCGTTGGCAAGTGATCCAGTCAGCTCGCCACTGATTTCCGAGGACTCGACGGCGTGGTCAAGACTTGAGGAGCTTGACCCGCTCACGAGAGAGGACTTCGCTTGGATGCCTCTACCCTCAACAGGAACCTTGCCAAGGCCGCATTGCAATGCCTTGATGGCAAATCTACGCTCCTATTTGCACGCTACAGTACCAGCTCCGTTAACGGACGACGGGATAGCGGTTGTCGATCTCCGCTCCTATCTTGCGAAGATTGACCGCGAGTACGCCACCCAAAGGTACGCCGAAACCGACGCTTCTTTGCTCTATATCCGCATTCAAATCGGAAAGGCAGCCTGTAGTGCCTTGATTGATTGCGGAGCGTCTCGCAACTTTATGAGCCAAGCCTTTATGGCCCGCGCAGGCCTTGGCCCGGGCGTTCGAAGGAAGACGCAACCCACGCAAGTTACACTTGTGGACGGCCGCACGCAAAAGTCAATTGACCGATGCGTCGACGACGTTCTAGTATACTTTGCGCCACTTGCGTGCGAGCCGGTGTCTTTTGACATCCTCGACACCAAGTTCGACATGATTCTAGGCATGTCTTGGTTGCGTAGCGCCGATYATCCGGTGAACTTCCATGACCGRACCGTTCACAYCCGTGATCGGAACGGAGTGTTAGTCCCATGTACGGTCGCGACCCCTCACACTTCGATTGCTTGTCACGTGGTTTCCGTTGCGAGAATTCGGGACGCCATAGCTCGGAATGACGTCGAGGAGATGGGCCTTGTATTCTTGCATGCTCTCCCCTCGCCGGACGGCCCAGCCGCGTCACCGCCGGACACACGCATTTCTCACCTCTTGGACGAGTATGGAGACGTCTTTGAGGCTTCCACCGAAACGGTTTCCGATCGGCCCATACGTCACGGGATCACTCTCGAGGCTGGTGCCGTCCCTCCGCGTGGATGTATCTACCGCATGAGCGAAGAGGAACTCGAGGTGCTTCGCGCACAACTCGATGACCTCCTCGACAAGGGCTGGATTCGCCCTAGTTGTTCGCCTTACGGTGCCCCAGTTCTCTTCGTCCGGAAGAAGAACAAAGATCTACGGTTAATCGACTATCGCAAACTTAACGCACAAACCGTAAAGAACGCCGGCCCTCTCCCTCGGATTGATGATCTCCTTGAGCGGTTAGGCGGCGCGACGTACTTCTCGAAGTTGGACTTGAAGTCGGGTTACCACCAGATTGAAATCCAGCCTCAAGATCGGTACAAAACCGCGTTCAAGATGCGGTACGGACATTTTGCGTGGGTTGTCATGCCGTTTGGCCTCACCAATGCCCCCGCGACTTTCCAAGCAGCTATGACGACTGAGTTTCGCGACTTGCTCGATCGCAGCGTCCTCATCTACCTCGATGACATCTTGGTTTATAGTAGGACGTTGGACGAGCACATCCTACACCTTCGCGCTGTTTTGGATCGGTTGCGACTGGCCAAGTACAAAGCGAATCTCGACAAGTGCGAGTTCGCCAAGCAGGAGCTTGAGTACTTGGGTCACTATGTTACGCCGAACGGCATTCGTCCCTTAGCGGACAAGATCCAAGCCATCGTGGATTGGTCAGAACCCCGTTGCACGACGGATGTACGCTCTTTCATGGGTTTGGCTGGATATTATCAGAGATTCGTCGAGTCATACTCGAAAGTGGCCGCCCCCTTGTCGAGACTTCAGTCCCCAAAGGTGCCCTTCGAGTTCAACGACGCAGCCCGTGGCGCGTTCACTGCGTTGAAGGCAGCAATGCAAGTCGCACCTTCCCTCCGTGTATACGACCCCACCCTTCCCACCCAAGTGACTACGAACGCTTCGGGATACGGTATTGGTGCGGTGTTGGAACAGTGTCACGAGGACGGTTGGCATCCGGTCGAGTATTTCTCCCAAAAGGTGCCTCTCGTCAACACTCTTGACGACGCTAGGAAGAAAGAGCTACTCGCGTTCGTCGCCGTTCTCAAACGGTGGCGCCACTTTCTTCTCGGCCGTCGGCGTTTCAAATGGAATACGGACAACAATCCGTTGACCTTTTATAAAACACAAGACACGGTCACCAGCACGATCGGTCGATGGATGTATTACATCGACCAGTTCGATTTTGACCCGTGTCACATCCCCGGTCCCACCAATCGAGCTGCGGACGCCCTCTCACGACGGCCCGACTTTTGTGCCATTGTGACCACGGCATTCGACCTCGATGACGATCTGCAGCCGCGTTTCGTCAAAGGCTACAAGTCCGATCTGACTTACTCTAAGCTTTACGCGGAGCTTTCATCGGATCACCCACCGGCTAGCCACTATCGGATTTCCGACGGGTTCCTTCTCCTTYACACGAGAGGAAAGGACTTGTTAGTTGTGCCCCAAGATCGCATCTTACGGACTCGTCTTCTCGGCGAATTCCACGACGCACGACTTTCGGCACACCTTGGCGTAAACCGCACACTAGCACGCCTCCGCCAGCGTTTTCACTAGCTTGACGTCCTCCATGACGTCACGAGCTACATTGAGTCATGTGCAGTTTGCCACCGTAACAAGGGTCGATCTCAAGTCCCTTTCGGCGAACTGAAACCGTTGCCGATTCCTCGGGCACCACGGCTCTCCATTGCTATGGACGTGACAGGCCCGTTTCCCCGCGATCCCCCCCGACCATGACGGTATTCTCACGGTCGTTGACCATTTGAGCAAGTATGCTCGCTTCCTTCCTTGCAAGTATCATGCTGCAGCACCTGAGCTCGCACGACTCTTGCACACCGGTTGGATTACCAACCAGGGTGTTCCTGAAGACATAGTGAGCGACCGAGATAGTCGCTTCATGTCGGCCTTTTGGACCTCCCTTATGGTTGAGTCCGGTATGACAATGAAGTCGAGCTCGGCTCGGCACCCGCAGACGGATGGCCAGACGGAGCGAGCGCACCAGACCGCTCAGATGATGTTGCGTACACTCATCCGTCCCGACCAGAAAGATTGGGTTGACCGACTTCCCGACATTGAGTTCGCCTATAACACTTCGGTGCACCCGACGATCTGCGTCACACCATTCGAGCTACATCATGGTGGAGAGAAAGCACGGATTTTCGCTGATCTCCTTCTGCCACAGGACGCCGACATAGACGTCCCTTGCTCTCCCGCTTCTGTCAGGAAGTATCGGGACTTGATGATCAAAGCCCTCGCAAATATGCAAAAGGCTCAGATCCGCATGCAGCAGCAGGCTAACCGACGTCAACTTCCATGTCCTTTCCACGAGGGAGACCTTGTTTGGGTCCTCTCCGAGAAATTTGCGCTGGAGTAGGACGTTTCGTGCAAACTCCTTTCGAAATGATTCGGACCATGGGAAATTACTTCTGTCGTTGGAGACGACCCCGCAGGTCCTTCCTTTGTGGTCAACATTCCACCTCACCTTCCAGTGCACCGGTTCTTCCACGTGTCGAAGCTGGCCATCTACACGCCACCTTCCGCTGACGAGTTTCCCGGCCGACGATCACAGGATCCGCCATCTATGGACGGACATCAGGAAGTGGACCGAGTCATCACGCACCGCAAGTATGGCAACAAGCCAATGCAGT